AACCCTTCTGGTGCGTTTTGGCTTGCTGCTGTAAAATCAAAGGCTGTTTCAGAGAAACATGAAGAAATATTCCTCATCTGTCTCAAGTTTTCCTTCTTACTGTTTGCTGCCCCTATTTCCTCTGTCACTTTTCATACAAAGGTCTGTGTAAAGACCTGATGGATGATCCAGAGCTTTCCCTGACGCTGCACAATTGGTTTGTGGTTTCTAGGCTTTGTCTCATCTAATTTTAAATATCACCTAACACTTTTCTTCTGACTCTCCTCTTTTTCTAACCTAAATAATCTGGTCAGCCATTTTTTGTTAAAAATTACAGGGGGGTGTGTATGTGCAGCCATTGCTGTCCTGTTGGCAGTGATGGAGGGTCCACCAGGCCATGCCTTTCCCATCCCTGCCAGGCAGGCAGGAGGGAGGGGGATAACCCCATCAGCTGTGGTCCCCAGCCTTCAAGTGCAACAGCTTCGCTCCTTGTTTCCTTTGGTTTTCAAGAATTTTGCTTTGTGGCAAACTTGTTTTGCTGGAAAAGTCCAAAATAACGGATATTTACAACCATGCTGGCTTCCTTGTACGCCCTTATCTCTTTTGGAAAGCTTTTGGGGGTCTTGGCTGGTAAGCAGAAAGGAACCTAAATATACCCTAAAGAATTGAGTCTTTATGGGAATTGTAATCATGAGAGTATCAGAAGTTACAGCATATTGTCATTTGCTGCTATACAGCTCTATGTGCTTATTAAAAAAATAATAAGACAAAACCAATATATATGTATATTTTTTTTTCCTGATCTTGGCAATATATTGCATTAACTTAAGTTTACAATGGTTTAGTGAGTAAAAATTGCAGGTGCTGGGTAGGAAGGTAAGCTCACTCCCTCCTTGTAACTGCTGATTTGTGAAAAGTGGCCCATTCCCTTGCTGCACAGGTAGTGCTGTGAGGATTTTTTTTTTTTTAGTCGTCGCAGTTGTTTAGGATTTCTCCATTCTCTGCCCCATCCTACCAAAGCAGTGTCTTAAGCAACACTTGATATCTTGGTATACCATAGCCGAATCCTTTCAAGGGCAGGTCCATGTAAGACTTGCACCCTGATTTTGGTGGAAATAGGATGCAGAAAGAGGGTTTGGCATCCAGGAGATTCATGGCACAGGGGGTTGGATGCGTGGGAGGGGGATGTGGGAATCACTTGACTGCAGTAGGACAGGTATGTGGGTCTGAAGTCCCAACCCTGTGTGCAATTGGGGTTAATGCATCCTGTGTATGGGATCTGAGTGACCCCACCCCAAGACTGTTGAGAGGCAGAGGTTTCCTAAGAATTATCATTTTATTATTATTTTAGTATTTAAAAATTATCATTTTATTATCATTATTATTCTAAATTAAATAGAACCTCTTGATTGTTGTCTCAGGTGGCAGTTTGTAAAACTATTTGGTCACCAAAAACTGCATTAAAAAAGTAATGTTGGTGCCTGAGCAATTAATGTAACTTAAGTGCAAAAAATACTTCTTTAATTTTTTTTCCTGCAAGAGCTGTTCTGGCTGTTGGAGCAGAACTAGCATTCGGGTGTTTTTCACTGGAAACAAAATTTTAGAGTGTTTGTCAAGAACATACATGAAAATAAAATAGCACACAGTCCTAGAACTCGGGGGTGGACTTTTTCTCAAATATTCCTCTAGCCCATGTCTACTACAGGAAGCCCACAAAGAGGGTTCCTCTAAAACCTCCCCGCACCTCCTTTGCATGCCTGACCACAACTTTTTGATCCATTTTCTCCCCATCCAGGTTCCCAAAGGCACCGACCAGAACTGGGCACAGAAGCTGTATGACCGGCACGCCAGCAGCCAGCACTTCCAGAAGCCCCGCATGTCCAACACCTCCTTCATCGTCCTGCACTTTGCCGATAAGGTAACCGGGCGCCCGTTCCGTGCGCTGGGACTTCAACGCAGAAATGGGAAATGTATGGAGGGAAAGAAGAGCCATTTGAAGGAAAATTAGTTTATAGCACCGGGGAGCTGCCTTTTGGTGATAGGGATGCCTGGTTGGCAGTAATCTCAGTTGGGTGCTCAGATCTAGATCAGCTTGGAGGACTTCAGCCTGCAAACTATTGCACTAAGCTTTAAACAGTTGTGCTTTCTAGAGCAGAGAAAAATCCTCTTTCTTAAAGCTGCAGTGAAACAAATTTCTGTAAGGGCAGCTTCACTGAAAATATATTGGAAAAGGGAATTATTTTTGAAGAGTTGGAGCTCCGAGCATCAGCACGGCATGGTGGGGAGGAGCACGTGAGAGGTGATCCTGGGCTGATCCCACCCTTTTGGGATGCCAACTGTGGGTTCTAAATCCCAGTGTCTGATGTTGTAGGGTCTCATCCATGGGCTCCAGCTTCATTGAAACCCGGATGTGACAGGCGTCACTCACAGCAAATAAGAATCTTAAAAGCTTGCAGTTACCCAAAACACACATTTGTTAGAAAGAAAATGTAATGCCAATCTGGGGAGGGGGGGATGTGTCCGAGGAGCCAGATGACATGCAGATGCTGTGATCCCGTACAGGTGCTTCTCCTAACCAGGTTTGCTCTGGATGCGAGTGGCACTTTTCATGGCAAAGGTTGATACTTGCCTTTCTGTAGGCATGTGATTTTGCACGTGTGTCCTTCACAAATGTTGTTCCTTTGCAAGCTTTGCCTGTCTGCTTTGTGATCAGTTATTTCAGCCAACTTCAAATGTAAAAAATAAAATTTTCATCTGTCCTCTCAAAACTCTTCCTGTGCTCCCCAACCCTCTGCAGTCTCAAAACCAAGAGACCTACCAGAGATGTAGTCAGGAGATCTTCTGAGGTTTATTGATTAGCTTACAAGGAGTTCAAGAGTGAACAAAAGAGCATGTAGAGGGACTGATGATCCTTGCATTTTTACCCCTGGTTTCCATGGAAGTGCGGTTGGGTCCCATACAGAGCAGTTTAATCACTAAGAAACAATTTGTGTTTGTGTTGAGGATTTTGCTTTTATTCAGGTTCACTTTCTTTAATAAAAAGTGACCTTTAAATTCCAGTTGTTCCCCTCCTTCTCTCTCTCAAGTTTTTCAGGTGAGCTCCAACAGTAGGGGTGGGGTGGGACACAGCTCCTTGTCCCTGTGTGGTTGGACTTTACCCTTTGGTCTTCTTCCTTTGTCTCCTGCTAGGTGGAATACCAGAGTGAGGGATTTCTGGAGAAGAACAGGGACACTGTGTATGAGGAACAGATCAACATCCTGAAAGCCAGCAAGGTAAAAGCAGTGAGTCGGGAGATAATCGGCACCACCACTTTCCAAAGCGTGAGCTTCATGCTTGTGTTCCTGTCCCGTGGGCACAGCACGTTGTGTATGCAAAAGTGGTTGGAGGCAGCCACGTGAACAGCAGCAAAAAAGGGAAATAAATGGGGTGTGGAGGAGGGAATAAGTGGGGAAAGGAGGGATGAGGCTGCTGGGGGCTATGGTTGCATCAAGGTGTGGATGTGCATGGTCTTCTGCTCTCCTCCACCCTGGTGTTGGTGTCCTGTTGAGGTGCATCAGAAAAACCCTTTCCAAACCTGTTGATCCTCCTCTTTTTTTTGGTCACCGAGAGCAAAAATCGGGAACAGCCAGTTATGGGGCAGTGTAAATCCCACTTAACTCTTGCTCGGAGCTCCTCACCCATCACCTGGCACTGAAGGTGTTCTCAAAAGCATGTGGGGCCACAGGTGATCCTGGGATTAAAAGCCACTGTCAGCAGTGTGGTTTGTATATTGTGGGTAGAGTTGCTGACCCTACCACCCTTCTGCACAAAAATGGCTGTTCCCCTTAGCTGTAGTCCATCATACTTGGCCCAGCAACTTTTAATGACTTTAATAATTAGTATGCAAAAAGTGGGGTTAATATACAATGCTGGAAATCTGATGTAACTCAGACATTCCAGGTACTGTAGAGCTATTTTACACTTCTGCCAATATGTAACATTAACAAATCAACACATATTGATGATCACGCTTGCTTTCGCTTCTGTATTACAAGATTTTGTGCCATGTACCTTTCTTCTCCCGAGTATTGTACAAACAACTTGTTGACACCTCATTGCATCAAGTGCCAGAGACGTATTGACTGACCTCGAATACCAACTCTCCTGGTAAAGAGCTTTTTGGCACCTGTGGTTTAAAGTGTCTGTTAGTCCTGAGGGCTGTGAACTCGGTGGGCTGTTGGAAGCAGAAAAGCAGTAGCTGTGGGGCTCTGCAGGCTTCAGCATGGGTCGTGCCTGCAGTAAACGAGCACTTTGCAAGGGGGCTTCAAGTTGGAGACTTCCCACTTGCATGTGTGAACTGAGCTGGTTTTATATTGACTCTTCTTCTCCATGAGCATGCGCCTGCACTTGGGTGGCTTGGGTTAAAAGTGTCAATTATGCAGACTTTTAGGGCATTTCAAGTTCTTGTTGTTTAAAACTAGACCAAAAATGCCCCCTGCAACCTTGAGTCTTTCATTGTCAGTTAATGAGTTGAGACTTTAAATGACCTTTACCCTTCCAGGGGCAGCTCTCTTATTAAGAAGTTAGTATAAAAATCCAGCCCTGCGAAGTGTGACACATCATCCAGCAGCCAAAATTGAGACTGCATGACTCTGCGGCACCATTGTTTCCACCAGAC